AGTGAAGCAACAAAGAAACAAAGTGGCTGAGGTCTGAAAATGGGATTAGTTTGAATTGTGAAGGCAGACTAAGCATCTGTGTCTGTCAGATGGGATGACAGGAATTGTAACAAGTTACTTTGACAACCGCTTACTCCATAGAGAGATTATGCTGAGTTCATTTGCAGGTTTGTGTTTAACCTTAGCTGACAAAATGATACTTAACCTCTTATACAGCCAACCTTATAGTTCCAGAATTAATGAATGTTGCCTTAACGATAAATGTAAGGAACATTTTTTTCTTCAAAGACATTTTTTTTCTTGCTTATTCGTTACAGGCCTGTTATTACAACGCTAAAGTGAGTGCAGATACATCTAATGGCACTAGTAATACATTTCAGGATATGTTTTTATGCTTTGCTGAAGTGCCAAGCATTTCATAGTGTTTCTGAACTCCCTTGGTTATGGAAATTCGGCAGTTGTCTTTAAAGGAAAAAATACAAGCAAATTTTTAAAATCCTTGACAGGAGTAGTTGAATTTAGGACTTAAAAAAATCCATTATACGTTCATAGCATGATTTGAAGTTTGAGCCTATTTTAATTTTGCTGCAGGTTTTGCATGTAATTAGCAGAATCCGTGTTTGTGGGTCAAATAGTTTCTCTTTTACAAGATATTACCTATACTGACAACATATTTAAACATTCTCTCTCTGTCTCTTTCTACTAGATTCTGGCATATACAGAAGGACTGCATGGAAAATGGCTCTTTTCAGAGATTCGATCTGTCTTTTCCCGACGTTATCTTTTGCAAAATACAGCACTGGAGATATTCATGGCAAACAGAGGTACTGTGAGTTCAGGGGAATGGCAAGTGTTGATCTGGGGACAAGCGCATTCTGTTTGGCTGTTTAGTCGTGTGGTTTTTTGGTATGGATTTGTGTAGATAGCAGAAGGGCTTGGATTAAGTGTCTCGGTATTTAAGGTAGTATATTTTTGTAATTTAGTTTCTCCTCTTCATTCTTTTTTTTTCAATGAGGAATTATGATCAAACGTGATAACTGGGAATTAGCAATGCCTCACTTTCATTTGTAGTCACATGTTTGTTTGGCATTCTCTGGAAACACTTGCTTAAGGCATACCTGCTTCTGATCTGTTATGCATGAAGGGTTATTTTTTGTCCCTTTGGAGGGTTAATAGTTGTTAGTTATGCACACCAAAAACAACACAATGAAAGAACTTCACTACCGGATTAGACCAGTGGCTGGTATACCTTCGTGCTTTATTTCTAGTAGTAATTTCTTTCGTTTAGACCCTAGTGCAACTCTAAGAAATAAATGTAGACTTACCTTGTTTATGAACCTTTTCTTCACTCTCCTCTTTCCTCAGTTCCTTTTTCAGACACACATATGTACTGTAACAAGTCACTCAAAATACAGTGCGTTGACACTTGGAGAACTTCCTTTTGCTATTTTCTCCCCCTAAATTTTATTTTAAACCAGGTTGTATGACGTCTTTGCGGTTTAAACTAAGATTCTTCAGGTACTTTTAGTGCTTTTATACTGATAATGAAATTTTGAAAAACAAATTTTGAAAACTGTATGCAAAGACACCAAATAAAGTTGGTCTTAAGATGACACTTTTAAAATGTAAAACATTTTTTTGGTAATGATATGAAACGTTGTTGTCCTGAAATCAGTAAATGTTTCACAGGTTAATGTGGTTTATGCAGTTAGTATGCTAGTCAAAAAGTTTTTGTTTGAACTTAAAATGGTCTCTAATCTTGAACGTGGCTGGTAAGTATTCAGACACATCTCAGAGAGCATTGTTGCGTGTATCTGAAGTGCATATTGTCCGACAGAATATTAATCATGTGCATAAACGCTTTCCTATTTTGGAGCCCGTAGTTGTACTCTGTGAAGTCATAAATATCCACTAGTGATACCATAATTAGATTGTTATTTAGATTTTTAGGTTGCTATTTCATAAGTGTCATTCAGTGTTTCAAAGAAAATATGAAGACAATATTTTGAAGAATATATCTTGAAAATATCTAGAAAGTAAACTAGTAAATGTGTATTCTAATTAATATAGAAACTTTTTTTTTTACCGGTTCTAGACAGTCAATCTGTGCATATAGGTTTCACTTCTATTCTGAAAGGAAAACAAATATAGACCTTGTCAGACTTTTGACAACTTCTCTTGAAATTCCTGTTAGCGGTAAATAAAAGCAGTTCTGGAAATTATAAAAACATGTATCTATATTAACCTGAAGGAAACACATCTAATCTTTTACCTGTTCAACACCAAAGCTTAGGGTTAAATTTTATTGGGCCAGAAAGCCTAACATAAAAGGTGTAAAAGCATGTCATATTTCAACTCTTGTGTTCACAGTGGGTGTCATGTTCAACTTTCCTGACCAAGCAACAGTAAAGAAAGTGGTTAACTGTCTACCTCGGGTTGGCATTGGTACTATCTTTGGACTACCCCAGACCAGGTATTTTACAATTTGAGTTAATTTATCTGTCAGTTCTAAGAGTTCTTTTTTCATCAAACCAGCCTACATTGTTTGAAGCGTTTACACCTACTGGTTTACAAAACATGCACGTCCTCAGCCTATCACTTCTGCATGCTATTTGCAATGTGTTTGTATAATAAATCCAAATTTTGGATGTGAGATTTTTTGTGATTTCTGTATGTTATAGGGAATATAGCTTCTTTTTGGCCGTGAGACTCAATCACTTACCCTACTTAAGGAAAATAGGTTTCTTTATGCTTGCCAACTCACTAAAATTTAAGACTGATTTAAGACTGGTTGTAGGACTGATTAGCTTTTATGGCAGTGTTCAATTATATTAGCTTGACTGTAACATCCTTGAATCCTCTGTAGTATTTAAACGTAGATGAAAATGATTGTTCAGAATGTGTAGAACAATATAAGCTGAACAGCATGTGAAGGGTTGGTATGGTGTGCTTGTCTTTTAGCTCTGGAGGACAGTGTTCAAATTTTACATAGTGAGAAGTTAGCATTACAATGTCAGGCTGTGTGTTTGGGTCCTAAAACTGAAGAATACGATGCAATTTGCTACGTCGTTTTTAGCAGAAAATTAGGGCTTGATTACCAGATATGCTCTGGATGAAACACAGCAGCACAATTTCATGTTCACTGAGGCTGATGGGAATAGAAGTTTTTGAGGTATACCCCATCTCTAGTTGGATTGGTTACCACTTGTATTTTAAGGAATTATAAACTATTTTTAAGTAGATTAAATTCTAAATTTTTTAGAAGAAACAGCAACCCTTAAGGAGTATCTTGATTGTTGTTACTTTAAATTTTTATTTTTTAAAGATTTCTGTGCACAGAAATGGCATTAAAATAGTTGGGGATGTTTTCTGTTGTGTTTTGTAGTTTACCTTTTTCTTTTTTATCAAATCCAGAAAAAAATTCTCTTGAATTGCAATTATAGCCGCTCTGTAAGAACTAAGGATTTCTATTTACAGAAGCAAATTATGTGTGAAAATTTTTAAATATACATGAAAGTATAGACACATTTGTTCAAAATTTCACATCCATTTATACTGATAAATTTGTTTACAATATAATGCAGTTTATTAAAATAAAAAAATATTCAGTTACTGTAACTGTTTTCTTTAATTGTTTACCAATACTTGTAAAGATTTGTTAACTAAAACTATATTTAGATTCCCCCCTGCAAATGATGTGGTTCTGGTATTTACAGATGTTTTTATTATGAACAAAACAGTCTTGGGAATTTTATGATAAGCTCTTCTCTGCTTGATTTATCACTCCAAGGAATGACTCTATAGTCTTCTTTCACAAACATTAGGAAATCTGGCATCAAATTCTGAAAGTTTAATTGAGTTATTTATGACTAACTCCCCAACACTGCCCAGAATTTAAATCTCAAGAGGATGGACTTCATAATGAAGTTCTATCATCTTATCATTGTTTTCCTTTGTTCTTGAGGGATTTAAAAACCTCTCCTAAAAGATGACTTTATTCTTATGTGAAATTCTAAAAGTCGTGTAATTTTCTTATTTAATGGTCTGCCATCTCTCTAAATCACTAGTAACATATTTCTGTAATACATCAAGCCTTCATGGAGCAGCTGAATTTGCACAGCTGTAAAGGTTTCTGTTTGAAACCTTTCAAATCTTGACATATCCAGCTGTCTGATGTTTTAAGTCTTTTGTTCTTATTAGATTATAAAACTTTAAAAATGAACTTCAAGTATTCAAAATAGCAATTTGATCTCCAGAGAAATCGAGCATAGAACTAATAAAAAGAATATGTACAACTGCTACTAAAATTCAGATAGGTAAAAAGGAAGATCCACCAGGTTTTCTCATTATTTTTTCTGATTTTTTTCTTTTCCAGACGCATTTCTTTGGCTAGTCCACGACAGATTTTCAGAGCTTCCAATATGACCCAGCGATGGCAACACCGAGAAATTTCCAACTTTGAATACCTGATGTTTCTAAACACTATAGCAGGTAACGCAAATTACCATAATGACTCAGAAAAGGAGCTAATGGTGGCACAGTCTCACCAGACATGGGACACTACTAGATTTTGCCCTTTTAATAAATAACTTTTTCTATGTGATGCGCAATTTGCTCCTGAAGAACAACTTCACAAAATCCTCCTGAATGTACTTCATTCATAATAATTTTTATGTTTATGTAAGAATAGAGAGGCATGCAATTCATAATGCTGTACTGAACTGCACTTAAAATATATCTCTAAAGTCAGAATATCTTGACTGTTGTGGGACGACAGTATACTCTTTAGGAGAGTCTCAGAAATAGTAACTTCTTTATTCTTTAGTATTCTAAGTTTTAGTATTCATAAGTACTATCCTCCCTACATACCGCTGATGCAACAAGTTCTCTGTAGGGCTGGAATGCTCTGGGAAGTCTCAGCTGGGGAGCAGGATATTCCTGGAGCCAATAAATAATACTGTTAAAAGATGGTTCATCTCGGAAAAGAGTGTACTGCCTGGATCACCAGCGCTGCTGTGCCAGGACACCATTCATCCATTCCCAAATCCTAAGTCATACCCCTGTATGGTTGTCCTAACCCTTCATTCTGTAAATGCTAAGCTATATTTCATTTAACCCATCTTACCCCATTAGCTTCTAAGCAACTTGACTTCAGTTTAGTAAATGGAGGCTAATTGTTAGGTCTCATGGCCTCTCTTTTATTTTCAAACGTATTTTGTTCTCAGAGCAACTTACAAAATTTCTCAATTTTCAGCTCTTTTCTTTGGTATTGATAGTGTCGAAAGGTCCGTTAATTCCCTTTCAGACTTGGCTCTTGCTAACACAATTAAAATAACAAATGCCTCTGCTCGCGCTAATTACATTTTATACAAATGGTCAGTTTTGCTAGTTTCAGTAATCAGTCATTAAGTCAGAGATGCCAGGATGCTGGCAGATTTTATAAAAGTGGGGGTAGATCGGCTTGCTTCCTTACTGCCAAAGTGGAATGAGACAAGATCATGACACTGTTTTCTGTGGCTCTAGTGAATGATCCTTTCCAGCTTTAATATATTATTGAAATAATAAAGTGAATTCTCACCTACTTGGTGTTTGAGGTTAGAAGGAACAACAAGATAACATTATGGAAAAAGGGAAAGTTTAATTGCCCATGATGGGAAGTTAAAAGATTGTCATGATGGCTATCGATTTGAAACAAATAAAGATAGACATCACAGTGTCATGTAAGTAGCCTTAATCCTGAATAAGCGATAATGTGCAACATAACCAACTGATGAGGGAAAGAAAGGTTCTGACTATACCATTTAAAAATTCTGCAAACCAGGATGGAAAAATAGTGAATGGTGTAAGAAAACTGGAGAAAGAAAAGCTTAGGTGGAGTTTTAGAAAATGTTTTCTAACAATCTGATAGATTGGGTTGTGAAATAATATTCCTGGGGAAGAAGTAAAAACCTGTCCTTTGAGACTTTTAAGACCAGGCTAGACAAAATCTGAGAACGTACTGATTGGAGGCAATGTGAATGAATGAGCTTCTGCAACAATATCATAAAAAGACATAGGATCTGTGTGAAAATTACGCATTTTAAAATTATAAACCAGAGTATGTGGTATATGTATAGTATATGATTATTCTAATTGAATATTTTGTTTTTACTGGAAGAAGGATATTATTTCCATCTTACAGATGCATGAAGGTACACATGTGAACCTAAAACCAGAACAGATTTTCTGCTCTGGTAAATGTTGGCGTATCCATAGGTGGTCAGTGGTGAAGGAAGAATTCCCCTCGAAGTGAATTCTCTAGATGAAATGGTTATTACTTGCATAATTTCTTAATCTAAAATCCTGAGCTGCTTCACTTTGCTTTCACATATTGAATTTAATAAAGTATGTAAAAATACTGCCTAAATTTTCAGTATCAACAAAAGTCATTGCCTCTCCATTTTTTTGAAGTGTTTCACTTTAAAGAAATAGAAGACAAGGTGACATAAACAAGAAAAGGAGAAATGCATGGAAAATGAATAGATTTAACTGTCACTCTTACTGTATGCAAAAGAGTTTACAATTAAAGTGAAATGGGATGCAATGTTACTTGCAATTTGTGAACTTTTTCATTATCCTCTTCAATAAAGCAAAGTAGAATATTGAAATGATAAAAGATCTGAAATAAATGGCAGTTCTTTTGAAAAGCTCGTAAAGTTATATTGTTGTATCTTTAAAGGTTGGTATTTTAGTTAAATATAACTCTCTTAACTCATGGCGGGGTTTTTTCACTGTTGTTTGTCAGGTCGAACTTACAATGATTTAAATCAGTACCCTGTCTTCCCTTGGGTTATCACCAACTATGAATCAGAGGAGCTGGACCTTACCCTTCCGAGCAACTTCAGGGATTTGTCAAAGGTATTTGTCATCAGATAGACCTTTTTTTCTCTCCAGTATTTATCACAGTAGCTTTCAGTCTTGTTAATGTTTTCTGCTGCGTTTGATACATTGATGTTAAATGCACAACCATTAACAGTGTTTCAGTTCTATATTCATATTCTGATAATAGGGATCAGATTCTGGAAGAATGAATTATTGATGTATTCGTATTGCTTCTGATTGTATCAGTTTAATAATTGTTAATGGAAGGTGGTCTTGGAGCATATGCATTACATTTAATTTCAAATTTTAATGAAGCTAGGAATGCTGAGGCTGCTAAAGATTAAAAATTAGCCAAATAATTTTCTGTTTTTCTGATGAGAATTGTGCTTTTTTTAGTAGCAAAGCTTGTGATGCCATTATATTTTAAGTACTTTTACATCATTGCCCTTATTCCCATAAGTACAAACTTTTATTTTTTCACTTCCTCTGTGTATCCCCTTCAGGTACGCTCAAGTAATGCAGTTGTCCTTTGTCAGGCAGACATTGCCGGTTTTTAGCAACTTTTCCAAACAGCTCCTTTCTGGCAGAGTAGCCTTGTTTTTCTAAGGTACTTTCCTAAACAAACATACACAGATGCAATATCATACAGCCTGTTTAAAGAATGTGATTATTTTCTTTCAGTCTTTTCCAAGAAAGGAACATTTCATTTTACAAAGTCGAAACATCTCTCATTTTCTCTGCAAAGACGAAGTGCACTGATCAGCAAACAGGATCTTTTTCTAAAAGCTAGCTGTTATGGAAATGATTGGCACATGGAGCAATATAGTTAATTAGTGGAAAACATAAAGAATCTATTTTAATTATAGCTTGTTTTTTACAAAAACCTACAAATTGGTAGTTTGATAGAAAAAAAAAAAATCCCCAAAGAAGTAAGGCAGTCTTTAAAAGTTCTTGCTTTCAGTTCGCAATTGATTAAGCTAAACACAGGTCTGAAAATCTCTAAAAAAATTTTTTTTTATTACAGATTTAGTATTTTAACCTTTAAAAAAGGTATTGTATAGTCATCAGATATATATACGTGTATATATGTGTATATATATCCACATATATACATATTTTAAAGACTATACCATACCTTTTGTGTGTGTATATGTACGTACAAAAAAAGATAAAGGAATAACCTTTTTAAGTCCAAAGCAGAGATATATGCAGTGCTGTCATTGTAACATTTTCTAATAGTGTTATTTAATTTGAATAAGTCATGAACTTCATGCTTTCACAGACTGTCTGACTGACACAAATCCGTATTCATGGGTAAACCTACACATATTTTATATTTTAACAAATCTTTCAAAGGTAAATAATATTTTAAAATAATTTCTTGTTGTGGAATTTAATAAATGCTTTCTTAATAATCCCCAGGCCAAAAAATACCTGAAGGTAGTTTACAACTAAAAATACCTATCACCAACCTAGACTTCACTTGTGAATTACACTTCAGTGAAATTGAAAACTTGCTAGTAACATCAGCTCTGTGTAGCTTGAATTAGTACATAAATTAAATGTATTAATCATTAATAACTTCCTTGATTATGACATGATTTTTGCAACCTCATTTTCCAGTAACTTTTGTTAAATGACACTTCTGCATAGATCGTGTCATTGCTAAAATCATTCAAGACAAAAAGAGGATTCTCCAGCTGCTGTGCTTTGGAGGCATCTCCTTTTAATTGTATTTTAATTTGTAAACTAGTCAATTCAGTCAGTGCTGTAGTCCTAGTCTTTCTTCCTCCACCCTGAAATAGGCCTTAGCGTAGAGCAATTTTTCCTCATTTTAGATTAGGTACCACTCTTGCCTCCATTAAGAAATTGGAGAGCAAACCCGCTCTTTTTCTGTCCGTTTTTTTATTATCAGTGACTGGTTATATGGATTTCTCTGTTCGTGAAAGTAGTCTTTGAGGATTACTAAGTATACTCTAAGTTCTGAGGGAATCTTTCCATTGCTGTTGCTGAGAGAGGGCATTACTTAGGGACATTACCAAGTGGACGTTACTTAGGTTGTATCTGTATCTATACTTAACCTTCTCAATCATACGTTTGAAGACTATGAACTTAATACAGGAAATAATTGTTACAATATTAGATGTCAGTCATGCTGTATTATGAGTAGAAGGCGTTTCATTAATATTATTTAGGCCTGTAACATGATATTCTTGGGAGCTTTTAATCTTTAACAGGTGATCGGCAGAGAATTGCCCCTATTGGTAGGGAATAGTGAATATTTATACATATATGGATATGTAACATGCATTTTCCTTTATGTTCTGTTAAATGCTGTTGATCAGACAGTGCATCTTGATCTCTGAAAATGTAACTGCAGTTCTGGATGAATGCCAGTCCTTCCCATATACACAATGAAAGTATGCCGTACCGGTCTCAGATACAGCAGTGCAAGCTTTGGTTACTGTTCAGGCATTTCTAGCAGTATCAACTCTACGTAGTTTAAATGTTAAACTTGTGTCAGATGATGAATTCATGGCAAATGTCTGAAAAACCTTGCTAATATTCAACTATGAAAGTGTTTGAATGTGATGTGTATTGTGATATTTTCATTGCAGTACTGTTATCTTGGGGGTAATGCTTCCAAAGAAGTGCTAACTATGTATTGTAGCATGTCTGCTACCTTTTGCGCTGCTACAGGTTTTAAAAATATTTCAAGATATTTCATTTAGCTTTTTACATGGTTTTAACAGTCTTTTAACAGTCTTTGACTTCATTGCTTTTCCTAATCCATGTCCAGAAATGCATCACAATTTCGTGCTGCCACTGAATAAAGAAAAGGAAAACTTAGATTTTTGGTCTGGCAGCAAGGATGTCAGGTCAATATTTTTACTTTTTTTGGTGCCTAAGAAAATTCAAAATGAAGGATTTTTTTTCTTTTTTTTTTTTTCTTTGGAAATTGCAAGTTAAGGTTAGGTATTAAGTGTCAAATATGAGTAACAGTTTTGTTAATATATTAGCTAGAAGTCCACAGTTAGTACAGATTTAAAGAACTGCGGTGTATAGGTTAAACCAACACTTTATTTAAGCGGCTTCTTATGGCATTGTTTTGAACATCAGTCACACAATGATAAACCAAAGCAACTGAAATGGTTTGTGGTTAATATTACTGTCAGCCTGACGAATGCTCCTGACAAATGCCAGGAGTGCTCTGCCAGTCTGTTACCCTGCTTTGACTTGAGTGTTTATTTCTTAAGAGGCGACTATGGTTTGGAATGAGTATTACATATTATATTTATAGCTGCATATATTTTATTTATGCAACAGACATGGTTTCCCACCAGAATGTGTCCCATTTTCTGCGTTACTTATGTTATTCAAAAGCACATTTTTTTCCTTTTCTTTACTCAGTGGAAGCAATAAATTGTGTTGTGTTTCTGGACTTGGGTAAGGGAAAAAAATAGAAGTAAAAATACATAGAAAATACTGAGATATCAAAGCATGATTTTATATTCTGAAAAGTTTGTTACAAGATCTTGCTATATGCAAGTAGCTGTTGATATTTTTTCTTTTATAAGGCACAAAATTTCTGTAAGATCACAAACTGACCCTACTAGAAGAAGAAAATGATGCCATTCTTAAATCTTCTTTTGTCTTCACTATAGCTACATGTGTACATAATAATATTTTTATTCTCATTTTTATCATTTTCATGTGATATTTGCTAAATTGTCATCAATTTTATAGTGGCTGTTATGTATGTAATGACTTCTTTTCCAGTCAGGTGTACAAAAGCAACAAATAGCTCTCACCTTCAGTGAAGTGAGGTGTTAATTGGTATGTGGGAGCCACTGATATCAAATACACTTTGACAGAAGAGAAGTAATAGATTTTTTTACTATGAAAAATTAGACTAGTTTTGCTGTTCTAATGTAGACTTCACTATTGACTGTTCTTCAGCATGCCAGCCTGAATTCTCTTGCAGGGTGCCCATTTCAGGAGCACAAATTCACTGCACGTATAACTTGTGCTGCATATTTTCCCCTGCGAGGAAATAGAGTAGCATGGGCATGAAATGTGCTTAGTTATCTCTTGTTACCCCTTGGCAAAGAGACAGAAAGTAACAAATGTTTTGATGTGCACCTATTATGCTTTTGCAAATTTTTTAAAGAAATCTTTTTGTCTAGAGAGGTATTAAAACTTGTACAGGCATTCTGTGAACCAGTGCTTTTCGTGTAGGAAATGAAAATTATCGTTTGTTCAGCTCATCCTCCAACACAAAATCAATGCAGGTTACTACCACTTAAAACTGATAAACTAACCAGAAGGACTCAATGTCCTTCTAAGCACAAAGCATGTTCCAAAATTGGACACTAAAAGAAGGTGAGAGGAACGGTGTGAGAACTAACAATAGTGGGTGCAGTGGTGATGACTTATTTTGATAGGCAATTACATCTGGAGTTTAGGCGCTGAAACCTATGCTGCTTGACAGTGCTGGGCTCAGCATCTGCCCTGGTTGCCTTGTCGCTGGTATTTCAGGCAGTAAATTTGTCATCTGTACCTGCAGCATAAGGTACCACTTAATTAAAAAGAATTCCAAAGCCAGACAGGATAAGCTTGGAAGGAAGGTACAAATATTTTTTTCTTTCAGGGCAGTTTATGTGAATTCCTGCTTAAAACAGGACAGTACAGGAAACAAAATATTTCAAACTTCGTGTCAGAATCCCTGGCAGTTAAGAAGGGGTCCAGTGTATTTTCTAGAATTTTGGATCACCTCAAGAAACAGTGGTAGAGATATCAAGACCAGCCCCCATCTACAGTCAGCCTGAAGGACTGATATCTGAAAAGGAGACACATTTTTCATTATTAATTTGTTAGTCTATTATGGATTTTGCTATTTTTAGTATAAAGTATATTTATTAGATTCTCTTCATTATCAGATAACAAGTTATCATGCTTTCTTTGTGAAATGCAACTTCTTCAAGGATAGGGACACTTCATCCTCTCTAAAATTGTATGCAGAATAGGGAACAGTT